AGGTAGTTTTCATCAGCAGTTGCACGCACCACCCCACACACGGCGGAGCCGCAGCAAACGTCATGCATAACTACCAGGCAATCACAGTGCAGCATACATTTGCACATGCACCCCAGGGGCACACGAGATGCGGCGATACGTGCCCGCAACAGTGCCAGCCACAGAGTGCACGACACCAGTGCAAGCACAGGTAGTGGTACACCACGAGAGCACACAAGATACATGCAGTACACACCGAACAACCAGCACGCACACAGTATCAATATTGCACACAGCCAAGCATGTGGCGAAACCCATGCAGATGGCACCATACCACTAGGTGCAGCACGATAACATATATGCACACCCCACCTGTACCACACATTGGCAGGAACACGCAAACCACGTGTTTAGCATCCATACAGCACACTAATGCACACTGGGCACACAACAGTGCACACACCAATACCTCAGCACAGGCACGTGCCACGATCACCACCAATGCGAGGTTTGCAGCAGTGCGAAAAACGACATGCATACCCAACACACCATGGGAAGACAGAACACGCAGCACAGGCAAACAGGGCCACACCAAACAATGCGACGCATGTGCAAGATGCAACTGGACAACACACCCATACACAGTGGACAGGAGTGCACCAGGACAAACACATGGTGCAGAAACACAGGGGATATTAGCACCGAAGCCTGTGGCGATTTACCCGACTGGCACACCACGTGTGAGCGACGTACACAGTGGCACAACAACCGGGTCGTGGGTAAGTACAGTTCTTGCGACGGTGTCTCTCCCAAGTCTATCACGTCGAAATGTGATGCCCGCAGTGTTGGAGGTGGTGGGCTGCGTGCGAGAGGTACTGGAGTATGGCGGGGCAGGTCCCTCGACGTAATAGCGTTAGGCCAGCCCCTTGGTGAGTGAGACTGGAGTCCTCAGTGCCGATTCACGGGATGATCCTGGTTGTTGGAAGAGGGTTGGACCTCGGCGCTGCCTTCTCTCTGCTTTTTTGGTTTGAGATCAGGGAGTTGCGTCCAGCCTCCGTCGGCGCGGCAGAGCTGGAGTGCAGTTAGCGCGCGGGGCGAGCGGCGGGCGGTGGGATCTTCAGCTCACTGGCCAAAGCTCGGCCCCGTCGGTTCAAGCTGCATTCTCCTGTCCTCAGCTCGTGCCCCGTGTAGCCGGAGACCTACAGGTTGCCGCCCACTCACGCGCTGGACTAATCTTTTTTTTTTTTATGTTAGACTTTTAGTAGAGAGCGGGGGTTTCACTGTGTTAGGCCGAGGGATGGTCTCGATCTCTGATCCTTTGTGATCCGCCTCACTCTTGCCCTCCGAAAGTTGGGCCTTGGACTTACCAGGCGTGAGCCACCGGCGCAGCTGCCGCGCCGCTTCCACGTGCTCTTCTGAGGTGGATGTGCTTGCTCGCCACTTTGCCTTCTGCCGTGATGGAAGTTTCACTGAGGCCTCCCCAGAGCAGAGGGCAGTAGCGGCTTCCGCGTACAGCCGTGCGAGGAACCGCGTGAAGGTTGCCACACTAAAATCTCTTTTCTCCTCGAATCACCAGTCTCCAGGTACTGCATTTACAGCAGTGCAGCAGTGACACAGAGTCTTCTAGGAGACACTATTCAATCTGGCAGCCACTGAGGTTGAATCCCTAGATGGAGGACACGGAAGGAGCAGGCCTCATGCTCACCGGCTGGCCCGACACGCCACTCTGTCCACCAGAGGTCGTGAAGACGTCCTTCCGCCTCTGCCCCGGGTCTCAGCAACACGGGCCGTGCCCACTGCCCGTTGCCACAGGCGTCCGAGGATGACTGCTCTGCAGGCGGACAGCCAAACATCTCAGGAGCATCCAGCTGGGACCTGGACCTTCCTTTCAGGGACCCGATGTGGTGGGTGTGCTCGAGATGACCTGGTCCTGATGCCTTGGGCCCCTCACCGCAGAGCTCCCCACCCCCGTTCTCCTCTGGGTCTGGCCCTACCACCCCACAGCGCCTGGTCGGGGCGAGTTGTGTTTGCCACAGGCAACTTGTGGCCTGGGGCCTCCTAGTCCTCCTGCGCCACGGCAGGCGACTCCTCAGCCCTTTTGTCTGAGATGACTCAGAGAGAGAATGGGAACATTTCGGCTGGACTGCGGGGGCGGGCTTTGGCATGCTCAGCGCACAGGGCTGCAGCCCTGGTGGGGCCTCCGAAGCCCACGCTGCAAACCTGTTTCCGTCTGCTCTGGGGGACAGAGACTGCGTCTTGGGTCCTGGCACACTGGCCTGGCGGCGGGGGGTCACATGGATCCTGGAGGCAGGTTCTCCAGATGGGGAGAGCAGGGTGAGTGTGGGTCGAGCCGAATCGGGGTCGTGGAGAGGTCAGCAGACACTGTTGCTGTGGCTTGAAAAACAGGCCTGCAGTCGCTAAGGCACCATCCAAAGGAGCTCGGTTTGCCTTCCTCTAAGTAACGCTTGCCCCCACCCCCGAAGTAACCAGCCCCAGCTCCAGACTCTCAGGGTGTAGGCTGGGAAGGACCACATCATGCGAGCAGGTGACCTCTGCCCAGGGGTCCGCCGATTCCCCAAGCACAGTGAGGTGAAGCGGCGACCGAGCAGTGAGGTGGGAAGGGCGCCAGCCTTCCCCGTTGTGAGCCCCCGAGGCGGAACAGGACAGCAGGGCTTCCGAAAGACTCCCCTCCCTGCAGCTCGAGTGGCAGGCCGGGGGGGCTCTGTGATCGATTTCCTCCCTAGAGGGGACCAAGCTCCCCGAGGTGCACCCGGGTGTCCTCCTCACCAGGTGCTGCTGTCTCTGGAATCAGGATTTCTGAAACCACCTTCAGCAGGGCCGTGGAGCGGCCCCTAGCTCTCTGATGGTGAGATGGGGTCCATCTCCCCTCATTCTTCTGCCCCCTTCTCGGGAGAGTGTTGGGGTGGAATTGGGGTGGAATGGAGCCGTGGGCGGTCTGGCTGCTGAGGCTGTGTTATGCCTGGGCACTGGCCGCCATGGCCCTTCCCTGCCAGGATGGGACAAGCAGCCATGTCCTCAGGTGGCTGGGAGCAGCCCTGGGCTTCTCTGTGTTGCATTCATGGCCCAGCCCTGGGGGTTCCTGGGGGCTCCAGGATCCTGGGCACTGCGTGTTCTCAGAGAATGCGCTTCAGGACCTGGAACGGGCTGTGCAGTCTGGAAGCTGGTTCAGCCCAGGAACTGGGCTCAGAGGGCACTTTGGTGCCAGGACAGGGGAGGGGACTTGTTTTTCCTGGGGCTCTTTGGATGGTGCTTAGGTGCCCGCCTGTTTTTCAGCCACAGCACAGGTGGTGCTGCTCTCCGACCCCGGATGCTCGACCTCACCCTGCTCTCCCCATCTGGAGACACTGGCTCCAGGTCCCATGTGACCCCCCGCCGGCCAGGGCAGTGTTCCAGGGACCAGCGCAGTCTCTGTCCCCCAGGTAGAGGAAACAGGTTTGAGCGTGGGCTCAGAGCCCCACCAGGCTGCAGCCCTGTGCCTGCATGCAGCCGCCCCCGCAGCCAGCCGGAATGTTCCATTCATTCCTCTGAGTCATTCAGACAAAGGCTGAGGAGCGCCTGCCGTGGGCAGGAGGCTAGGAGGCTCCAGGGAGCAAGTGCTGTGCAAACGCCAGGCTGTGGGTGGTGGGCAGACCCCAGAGGAGAAGGGGGTGGGGAGCTTGGGTGAGGGGCCCAAGGCTATCAGGACCGGCTCTGAGCACCCACCATGGTCCCTTGAAAGGAGGTCCAGGTCCAGCTGGATGCCTGAGATGTGGCTGTCAGCTGCAGAGCAGCATCCTCGGGACGCTGTGGCACCGGGCAGTGACGGCCCGTGTTGCTGAGACCCCGGGGCAGAGGCGGAGGAGTCTTCAGACCTCTGGTGGACAGAGTGGTGGTCGGGGCCCAGCCGGGAGCATGAGGCTGCTCTTCCGTGTCCTCATTAGGGTTCAACTCAGGCTGCCAGATTTCAAGAGTGTCTCCTAGAAGACTCGTGTGTTCACTGCTGCACTGCTGTAAAGCAGTACCTGAGACTGGGTGATCGAGGAAGAAAAGAGATTTAGTTGGCTCACGGTTCTGCAGGCTGTACGGGAAGCGTACTGCCTTCTGCTCCTGGGGAGGCCTCAGGAAACTTCCAATCACGGCAGA